GATCCGTCCTCTACATATATATTTAAATCTAGGAAATGTACTTGAGTTTTACTAAAGTTGGTAGTTAGCTTGAGGAGAGGAGAGGAGATGAAGAGTCACTCCTAACCTTTCTATCCCACCTGGAATCCAATGATTGGGGAATCAAGCTAACTACCAACTTTAGTAAAACTAAAAAACTAAAAAAAAAAACCTGTAAAAATTTTTAAAGGTTCTCTTTTTTTTTTTTTTTTTACAATTTGTAAAGACTCCTGTCCCAATACAAAACCCCCGCCCCTTCTACAAAATCCCTGCAGCCCCACACACACATTTACAGGCAGACAGTCACATACAGTCACAGGCAGACAGTCACACATACACATTTCCTCCGTGCGGCCAGTTTATCAGCTGTTTGCTTGTGTGAGCTGTACTGCCACAGCCCCCTCCAGCCAGGGCCGGTGCAAGGATTTTTGCCGCCCTAGGCAAAAGTAAAGTTTGCCGCCCCCCCATGTGACATCACAATGCCCCACCCATATGATTTGCCATGTTAACTAACGCCAGTGCTGCAGTGCCGCCGTGTTTACATTAAAAGGCCTGCAGGACAGGCTATAGACACCAGAACCACTACATTAAGCTGAAGTGGTTCTGGGGACTATAGTGTTTCTTTAATGTGAGGTAAATTAGAGCTTAGTGCCACGAATAATATACTAGATTGCCTACTTACAACCAGATGAGGATGATGATGGGCTCTAGCTGCAGTCTGGCTCCACTGGTCTGGTGCAGAACAGGCTCTCTGGAGGCGGTTTGTAACTGTGGTCACAAAAATCAATGTTCTGGGAGAACGGGAAGCAGCTCCATTTTTTGGGGGTCCTTTACACAGCTCAAGGTCTGGGTCCCAGGGTCCACCTTCATGTTCCACCAATGAGTTTGTTCACAGGGGGTGGAGTGTGTAGGGGATGTCCTGATATGTGTGTAAGGAATGCATTGTGTGAAATTGTGTTTGTATGTGTAAGGACTGCAAGGTGTGTTTCTGTGTATGTATGGGATGCATTGAATGTGTGTAAGGGGTGCATTGAGTGTGTGTAATGAATGCATTGTGTG